AAGCTCGCAGTTATTTACCGTTGCGCCGAGGGTTTCAAGAAAATCGACTTCGAACGTGTCTCCGACATTTGCGTGCGGTCGGCGCCGCAATAAACAGAAACGATAAGCTACGGGCTAACTTATTAGCGGATTACTATTCAACGGCACGCGCGCGCCACCGACAGATTAACACGATTCGATTGCATTTCACACTCCCGAGTCGCTCTCGCATAAACAGTTACGCCTGTATTTGTCAGCCCATCGATCGGCGCGCATCCAGCCTGAGAAAATATTGTTTCGAATTACACGGCTCCGATTGCTCTTTTGGGAAATCAAATCTTTTGCGACGCCGGTGGGATCAATTATTGGAGCATGCTTTTGTATTATATGTATTCATTATTATATGTTATTATTATGTTATTTATATATATACATATATTTATTTATATATATTATGTTATTATTATTATGTTATTATTATATGTATTTAATATTTTATATTATAATACTCAGAGATATTTGAAAGAATTTATAATAAAAATATTTTGAGACAGATTGAAAATATTTTATGTTTAGAAATATTGAGACAGATTGAAAATGATTTATATTAGAAATATTGAGACAGATTGAAAATATTTTATATTAGGAATATTGAGACAGATTGAAAATGATTTATATTAGATATTTTGAGATAGATTGAAAATATTTTATATTAGAAATATTGAGACAGATTGAAAATAATTTATATTAGAAATATTTTGAGATAGATTGAAAATATTTTATATTAGAAATATTGAGACAGATTTTGAAAATAATTTATATTAGAAATATTTTGAGATAGATTGAAAATATTTTATATTAGAAATATTGAGACAGATTGAAAATAATTTATATTAGAAATATTTTGAGGTAGGTTGAAAATATTTTATATTAGAAATATTGAGACAGATTGAAAATATTTTATATTAGAAATATTGAGACAGATTGAAAATAATTTATATTAGAAATATTTTAAGATAGATTGAAAATATTTTATATTAGAAATATTGAGATAGATTAAAAATAATTCATATTAGAAATATTGAGACATGTTTGAAATATTTCATATTAGAAATATCGAGACATAGTGGAAATGTTTGATTTGATTTTATGACGTAAAATGTCACCCCCTTATTCGAGGAATTTCCTTTTCATCCACTGCGTTAAAGAATTCTCTATATTGGAAAACTGCGAGCATATGTGCATGGGGAAAAAGCAATTAACATATCTCGCAGACAGACGATTATGCAGACTGTTGTGTAAAAGCAGAATTGTCTGCGTCGATTGCAAGAAATATAAACTAAATAACTAGTTCCGTAATCGTTTAAACAGATCAAGAATGATACGTCGACGTTTTGAAATTCTTATCACTTTTTCAGATTTTTTTAAATTGCAACAATTTTGTCACAATCGTACAAATAATCTAGTAATGCCAATTAAAATATCTTTAATTACAGAACTGTTTAACTATAAAACTGTTTAATTAAAAAACTGTTTAACTAAAAGATCTACTCAATTAAAAAATCTGACCAATTAAAAAATCTGTTTAATTAAAAAGCTTTTTAATTATAAGCAAATGCTTGAATCACTACTTTAAAATATTTCAAATTAAACCGCATACTTTTCATGGATACAAAACCATGACAAAAAAATCGCAGATCGACGATCCATAGATCATTCTAAAGGCGAAGCTTCCCTCTGTAAGGGAAGCTATTTCGTACGATATTTCGCAGAGGTTTCGACCCCAAGACTCACGGATCCATGCATCATGCCGCCTATGATTCATGTGCTTCAACGCTGCGCTCCAAACCGGCGCAATCTTTTTCACGTATTTCTGTACGGGGTTTGCGGGACCATGGCGGAACGTGAAAATGTTCTATGTGTAGGCGGTTGTTCTATACGTGAGACAATGAACCATTCTTCTCGCACAGCTACGACGCGTACGTTTCGCGGATGAAAGAGTTGCTTATAATTTTCGTTCGCACAATAAGTTGAAAACATTTTCTGCTTTCTAGGAAATGAGGTTATGTTGTACTTCTGTTTAGGTTATGTAGCTGTAGTTTTTGAAAAAATAGCGATGACAAATTGAAGCCTTCTGTGATTTTGAAAAAATAATTACAGGAAAATTAAGACGTTTGTGATTTTTCAAAAATAATTACAGAACAATTTGTCCTTTCATGATTTTCTGAAAAATAAGGGCGAGAGAGAGAGAGAGAGAGAGAGAGAAAGTTTAGCTTTTTATATTTTCTTAACAAATAAAAGGGGGACGTTTTAGCTCTCCCTGGTCCCTCAAAAAATAATGAACAAAAACATATGATAGCAAATAAAAACTAAATGGTAAAAGTGAACACGTCAAACGACTAATAATAAATATAAAAATATATTGTTGTTAACGTCTAATAAATCAGAGATAAAAAAATGTCGATATTCGAGCTACTATAACTTCGCGAAAAAAAATCGCAGGGAGGTTAGCTTAGGCTTATTTTAAAGGGTGGAGTTTGCTCTTTCGACGCCTCATAATTATCTTCATAAAGAAAAATATTCCACTGAAGTACGCGGGAAGAAATCCAAGAATCGTCGTTCTCATGATTTTTCAGATTGAAACCCTTCTACCTTGTTGTGCAAGGGTTGATTATGGTATCGCGCAGAAATATGGTTAAATAAGAGTGTTATTTATAGCAGCAATATTCAGATAATTACTGGATGAGTGGTGCGCGCAATAAATCGACTCGCGAAGGATCAGATTGCGAAAAAGGATGTCAGCGGCGATCGAGTTGGTCGCACAGGTAACGTGTCTGCTCAGTGATTAGCCTTTCCACTCGCTGCAGAAACGCATGCGGTGCACTGCGTCAAGATTCGAAGTTGATTTATTCGAGATGTTGCGCTAAATTAATTATATGGAGTGCTTGAGATTTTCGCTGGTCGACGAGACTTTGGTGAACCGAACGAACGTAAACTTTTGCAAATAAACTGAACGCCTAAATAAACTACATATGCGAGTAAACTGAATGTGCAAATAAACTAAATTTGCAAATAAACTGAATGTCCAAGTAAGCTAAATATGCGAATAAACTAAATTTGAAAATAAACTGAATGTCTAAGTGTGCTAAATATGCAAATAAACTAAATTTACAAGTAAACTGAATGTTTAAATAAGCTAAATATGCGAATAAACTGAATATGCAAATAAACTGAACGTTTAAGTGAGCTAAATATGCAAATAAACTGAATGTTTCAGTAAACTAAATATGCAAGTAAACTGAATGTGCAAATAAATTAAATTTGCAAATAAACTGAATGTCTAAATAAACTAAATATAATTATTTGTAAATATAAAATAAAATAAGTTCAAAAATGAATATAAAACAATAAATGAAGACAAATAAATATTATTTGTCCAACAGCGAATAACATTTTGCTTCCTTTTCAACAAAATCGATGTTTCATACGTTACCAGTGCATTCACGATCGTGACGACCAGAAATGACAATTATTGACCAGACACGCGTTATCCAGGTGCAATTAAATGACACGCTTGGCCGAGAGAAAATTCAAATTTTCTCTCTCTTTTTCTCTCTGAAAAAAACGTGGCAGTCCATGCACGAGCAGTCGTTCGAAATTCCCAATTGATTTTATTTCAGTCGATTTTCCTCGTCTGTCTTCAGAGACCGTAAAGCTAAAATGTCTTCTTCCGCCTCGCGCCATAAAATATACTTTTCTTCGTACGAACTGCACACACACATATCTTGCAAGTAAATGAAGAAAACACGAGGCTCCGGGGGAAACCGCGGGGACCATGGAAAATTGAACGCGTTTCCAAGCGAAGAAAAGTGTATTGTAAAATATGCTTTTCTCCTGTATGATGACGTCGTGAAAGAATATTAATTTGTATTATATTTATACTATGTTATGTGTGTGTTTAATTTGTATTAGTTTTTTTCACTGTATTGCGTGTGTTTGATTTGTACTATTTTTTTTACTATTTTATATGTGTGTGTGTATGTTAATTTGTACTATATTTGTACTATATTTTTACTATTTTTGTATTATGTTATGGGTGTGCTTAATTTGTACTGTATTTGTACTATATATAGTATTATGTGCCTGCTTCTTGCAATTCTTTGTCAGAATTGTACCAAGAATCTCATAAGGAAATAAAGAGAAGCATAATGCTCCAGAGAAAACCGTGAAAACCCTAGAAAACTGGAAATATTTTTTTAGAGAAAGATCATCTTAAAAATTGTATAATTATGGAAGCACAATGTTTCAAAAATAGACCACGCAATATTGAAAGTGTTCTCAGTTCATAGAAAAAAAAGACCACAGAGAAATATAATTTGAGGGAGTACAATCTGCCAACTTCTGTTATTATTTGTAAAAATTGTGTCCGTGTTGCAAAAATGTCAAATGTGCCAAAAATTTCACAAAAAAAAACAAAAAAATGAAGGAAAGCCCAATGCTCCACAGAAAACCACGAAGAAGTGTAATTGTTCTCAACCAAAAGAAAAAGATCACTGTAAAATACAACTTGAGGGAGAAAATTTGGAAAAATTGTATCAGTGTCGCAGAAATGTCAAGTGTGCCAAAACTCTCACAAAAAGAAATTGAAGAAAAGCACAATGCTCCAGAGAAAACCATAAGGAATTATAATTGTTCTCAACCCCCAAGAAAATATCACTATAGAATATAATTTGAAGAATTCCTATCCACCAACCTCAGTGAAAATTTGTAAAAATTGTACCAGTGTTGCAAAAATCTTTCAAAAGAAAATTGAAGAATGGTCCTTTGCTGCAGCGGCGTATTCGAGCCGAATAAAAAGGTCATTTTAACTCACGAGTGTCTTCAACAGTGTCCTCAACAGTGTCTTTGTAAGAAGCGTACGTTTGACGCGTGCAAGTGACCGCGACGGACACGCGAAAAAAACAAAGTAAACCTAATCCGGTCGTAAATAAAAAGCAACTCATGCTGTTCACAGTACGCACTCTAAGATCTGCGGCGGTTTGAAGCTGATGTCGAGCCGGTAGGTCGCCTCGCAGCTCAGCTTGACGGTCTTCAGTTGCCGGAATCTGGCGGAGGTTTCCATCTTGCAGTAAACTGGACCCGCATCCGGTTCCCTTCTCAGGGACAAGGTCACTCGGAAATGTCCGTCAGCACCCATCTAGCCCCATAATCGAACAGCCGGTGACGAAATGAGAAAAAAAAAACAATCGACGGAGACGAGGTCTTCGCGGACGGAGGACACTAACGGGTTTCTCGGTTTTCCAAGGGTTCGTTCTCGTCGCGGTCGTTCGGGGACGATCGGCGCGCATCGGCTGCCGACTGAAAATGTACCGACCGTTGCAACGTGCGCCGCGGGAGTCCGGACGCTTACTGAACCGCGTCGTCGTGCATGTAACGCGATTCCGGCACGCGACGGCGTCTCTCGTTTGACTCGGCCGACCCTCGGGCCCCTCGAAAATCCCCGGCGAATTTTACGCGGACGGTCCTCGGAATTATTTAAAAGCCGCGTGGAAATAACGTTGCTCGCGGTGACCTTAACACTCGTGGCTACTCGGCCGGAACTGTCCTGCGACGGAATTTCATTTCAATATTTAAATTTATAAGCGTGCTTCCATTCAGTTCCAGACTTTTATTGCGGCCTGATTGCGATCGATGAGTAATTGCGTTGGCCTTCCGATTTATTTCATGCGCCGGAGATTGTATTGTGACCGTTGAAACGCGACCGTTTCTTGTTATTTTAATTAGGCTGCGTTTGTGCAATAACGGGGTGTAAACAGTATTTTTAGTTTTTCTTTGGAATGGGGAATTTTTAATCCATACAGGAGATTCTACTTGAGCGCAATTCTTCTTGAAGGGATTGGGAATTCTTGAACGCCGGGATGTGGAACGTTGATAGATTATGGCTCGGCGAGTCAGAGTGCTTTTCATTATGCTCGTAACAGAGTAAACCAAACACTCGAGATGTATTTCTGAACGTTGCGAATCGTTTGGTCGGAATATAAAGGAGCTCAGGATCTAGTTATTTTAGACTTTGATTGAAATGATATTTTCAACCTTGTTCCAATTGATTTATTTTCAACCTTGTTCCGGTTGATTGATCTTCAACTTGGTTTCAATAGGATCAATTCTCAACTTGGTTTCAGTAGGATTGATATTCAAACTTGTTCCAGTAGATTTATTTTCAATCTATTGTTCTAGTAGATTAATTTGCAACCTTGTTCCAGTAGATTAATTTGCAACCTTGTTCCAATAGATTGATGTTCAACCTTGTTCTAGTAGATTAATTTTGAATCTTATTCCAATAGATTAATGTTCAATCTTGTTGCAATGGATTAATTTACAACTTGGTTCCAATAGATTAATTTTCAACCTGGTTCCAATAGATTAATATTCAACTTTGTTGCAGTATATTAATGTTCAACTTAGTTCCAGTAGATTAATTTTCAACCTTGTTCCAATAGATTAATGTTCAACCTTGTTCCAATAGATTAATTTTCATCCTGCTTGCAACAAGATTAATTTTCAACCTTGTTCTGATAGATTAATTGTCAACCTTGTTCTAGTGGATTAATTTGCAACCTCGTCCCAGTAGATTAATTTGCAACCTTGTTCCAGTAGATTAATTTTCAACCTGCTTGCAACAAGATTAATTTTCAACCTTGTTCTGATAAATTAATTCTCAACCTTGTTCTAGTAGATTAATTTTCAACCTCGCCCCAGTAGATTAATTTGCAACCTTGTTCCAGTAGATTAATTTGCAACCTTGTTCCAATAGATTGATGTTCAACCTTGTTCTAGTAGACTAATTTTGAATCTTATTCCAATAGATTAATGTTCAATCTTGTTGCAATGGATTAATTTACAACTTGGTTCCAATAGATTAATTTTCAACCTGGTTCCAATAGATTAATATTCAACTTTGTTGCAGTATATTAATGTTCAACTTAGTTCCAGTAGATTAATTTTCAACCTTGTTCCAATAGATTAATGTTCAACCTTGTTCCAATAGATTAATTTTCATCCTGCTTGCAACAAGATTAATTTTCAACCTTGTTCTGATAGATTAATTGTCAACCTTGTTCTAGTGGATTAATTTGCAACCTCGTCCCAGTAGATTAATTTGCAACCTTGTTCCAGTAGATTAATTTTCAACCTGCTTGCAACAAGATTAATTTTCAACCTTGTTCTGATAAATTAATTCTCAACCTTGTTCTAGTAGATTAATTTTCAACCTCGCCCCAGTAGATTAATTTGCAACCTTGTTCCAGTAGATTAATTTGCAACCTTGTTCCAATAGATTGATGTTCAACCTTGTTCTAGTAGACTAATTTTGAATCTTATTCCAATAGATTAATGTTCAATCTTGTTGCAATGGATTAATTTACAACTTGGTTCCAATAGATTAATTTTCAACCTGGTTCCAATAAATTAATTTCAACCCTCTTTCCAATAAATTAATTTTAAGCCCCGTTTCAATAGAATTACTTTCAATTCTGTTTACATTAAATTAATTGTAACCCCCATTTCTATAGAACTAATTTAAAAACTGATTTCAATAGATCCACACCATTCGACTGAATTGCTCCGTATCAGCGCGATAGTTTCGTGATCCAAAAGTTTCGAGTTTCAGGACAGCCACAGAACTATTCACGAAACATTGGTGTTACGAGACCAATTTCGTATCGCTTTGGAATTATCGAGCCGTGAATCAACGTTCTCAGCAAAGCTATGATCGTAAATCCTCAGGGAATCGGTGCTCCGAAAAGCTGATGCATATTTTTCATCGAGGGATCCATTCGGGTATTCTCTTTACTGGAATTCATTTTAAAATGAAACTGTGTGCTAATTGGGATAATTCAGGGTGCAACTGTAATAATTGATTCCTTTTGATTTTTCTCATTGATTTTTCTTTTATGCTCCATTGATTCCTTTTGATGTTCCATTAATTCCTTTCGATGCTTTATTGATTTTTCTTTTATGCTCTATTGATTCATTTTGATATTTCATTGATTCCTTTTGATGTTCCATTAATTCCTTTTGATGCTTCAATGATTTTTCTTTTATGCTTCATTGATTCATTCTGATATTTCATTGATTCCTTTTGTTTCTTTTGGCATTTCAGTGATTCCTTTTGACGTTTCAGTAAATCGTTCTGATGTTTCATTGATCCCTTTCGACAAATATTTCTAAAGTAGATTTCCATTTCAGGAACAACCCTAATTCCCTAGCACTTTCTAGCAGGCTCCGTCGATAGCTGTCCAGCAATGCTATGCCAAACGCCTGAAGGTGTCCTAAGCTTCACCTACTTTCCGAAAACATCGATATCTGATCGCTCAGGACAACGTTGCTACTTTTCATGTAAACTGCAACGCCATCGAGCTGTAACCTCGATCAGATTTGTTCCCTCTTGGTTGCAACGCCCAGCAAGTGCAACATGTTGCACATTTTTAATCCAACGCAACGACAATGATTGATTAACCACGTTGAAGGAAACCTAGCTTGTTTTTTTCACAGAAACGATGAAAATTTAATTATATATATTATAATATACAGGGCGTCCCAAAAATGTCTCGCAATCCGAAAGTGGCGGGTTCCTCAGGTCATTTGAAGCAACTTTTTTCTTTACAAAAATTTTCTCCGAGGCACCATTAACGAGTTATTAACGAAAAACAGTGACCAATGAGAGGCGAGCTCGGCTGGCGCGAGGCGACCGAGCCAATGAGCGGAACTGGGCTTCGTGCGTTGTTTGGCTGGGCCACCTCGCGTCAGCCGTACTCGATTCTTGTTGGTCACTGTTTTTCGTCAATAACTCGGTAACGGCACCTCAGAGAAAATTTTTGTAAAGGAAGAAGTTGCTTCAAATGATCCGAGGAACCCGCCATTTCCGGATTGCGAGACACCCTGTTCATTGAGAAGAAGATTGGGGCACCCTGTATATTATATATCGTTTGATATACATATAATTATATATTATACTTTATACATATATGATATATTATAATATTAATATAATATATAATTATATTAATATAATATTAATATTATATTAAATCGAAACTAGAAAATTAAAATTTATCACAGTGGTTGACATTAGAATATATTACAATGAAAATGAATTTTCAAAATTGGTGAAAAATTAGTTAAAAGCTCACCCGAACCGAAAGAAAATGAAGATGAGGGAAGCCTCGTCGCCGGGGTAGGAATACGCAACGTACGCCGAGGTGTTTATTGCACAAATACAATTTTTATTTAGCCTTTTCTTCATCGTATATTCTCCGATCCGTATATAAAATTGTCTTAGCAAAGTTCGAAAGAGAGGTGTCTCTATATACACATATTTCAAATACACAGTACAGTTATCGTTTTGCTTAACAACGTATTGTTTTTTTTTTCGAAGTATCACAACATTGAATCATGGTAACGGTGCTACGAGTGACAATAAGTAGCTTAAAACAACAGTTTAATGCCTCGTGGGAACGTGAGATTACAGTTCGGCAATTGTGTTCGTCGCATTGCGAAGTGCCGCTTTTTTCCGAGCCACCGTTTATTTATAAATATATACATACATCCATCATGATAAAAATAAAATTCTGAGCGTACGTCGAGAGCCTGTGACGTACGATGGCTACCTAAGAAATCGGTGTTTTCCTTCGTTAGATTCATAATGTCTATAAACCCTTTAAAGAATTCTAATTTTATTTTCGGTTCCAAACAGAATTCTTTAATTCTTAACCGTAACAACGATGCCAACGAAAGTCTTTTAATGGAGATTATCACTATCGAATGAGATCAGCGGGACAGTTTAAATAACAATTAGGTGTCTGTTCTACAAACGTGGTTCCAGTCCAGAGTGTCGAGATCTATTATTTGTCATAACGAACGCGATTGCTTCTCCTCGGTGCCGACCATACACCGAGTCACCGCCTGGCCCATCTTTATCGTTTGGCCGGACTCGATGCAGAACGTCAAATCCTTCGGCGCCTCGAACAACAACACAACGGTGGACCCCATTCGAAACTCCCCGAACAGCTCCCCCTTACCGATACGCGCACACCCTAAGCTAGCGTCGTTCCAATGCTTCGACTCCGGCCACATGATCGTGTTCGTTTGCAGTCCTCTATCACAATAAACTTTTATGGAGCCGACGTTCGTCGCTCCCACCGCGGTGTACGCCATGAAACCACCGGCCCATTTGCCGACGTAAACCACGCGTTCGTTCAACGAAAATAGGTCCGGCAAATATTGTGCCACTTTTGGATTGACGCTCAACAATTTTCCTGTAACGTAAAGCGAATCGTCGTTGAATAATCGTTCCACTGTTCCGAAATACTTCGGCGAGATCAATTAAACACCGGACGCGATTACGTACCTTGAAAATGCCTACGGTACTCGATCTCCCAATCGGTTGAACTGTGAAATCTATGGTAGTCTCCTGGAGCTAGGTAAACTATTAATTGATAAAGCTGATTCTTCGGGTTTTTCAGAAGCGATTTCACGTAAGCGTCGTCGTCCTCCGACGCGTACTTTAAGGGCTGATCGGAGGATAACGCGCCAATGTCGCCCAAAAAATGTCTGAGATTGTAGGTCACACCTTTGACTTGTTCCACTCGACAGCCTGTCACAGGACCGAAATGTAACACTCTTCCGTCAGAGGGTGATACCTGTAATTGAAATAAGCGTTAATGTAAATGGTAATAGTGTTATCCTGTCAATGCTTAATGCAGAATTTACTTACAATGCTCGTTTTATGGTCGATGGGCCTTGCACCGCTTTTGAGCGGTCTAACAAAGAAATCAACAAGACTTGGAAAGTCCGAGAGATCTACATCAATTTCATCTAGATTAGCATGAAAAGTTTTTGCATAAAATCCGTACAAAGTTGGCCTTAGAACGACCGGTAACTCCAAACTAGCTAACCAACCCCATACTCTACTTATTATCCGAAGTGGCAGGTAATAAGAACATTTTACCTGAGCAAACAAGAGGAAATAAATATCTGATTGATGAGTAAGGGTGTTGTTACTTATGATAATGCTTCTACAAAATGATACATAGTAAATGATAAATCTGCTATTGTAGCAAAAAAAAACTATACCACAAAAACATTGATTGGCTCATACACATTGGCATTCTCAGTTGTATGTGGATAGTTTTTCGTACGCCTCCATTGTAATATTCCCAATAACGATAAGGATACTCCGATAGGTATGCTCCATTCCCATTTCACAAAGGAATACCAGGAATGTGCTTTACGTTCTGTCGCATTTGAGCTGTATCTCCTTAATAATCTCTGACTTATCGTCACTCTCATAGACCCATTCGTGTGCACATCTGAACAACATTTGTACGAGTTCCTTCTGAAAATAACGTGAAGTGAATCTTAAAACATTCAGTTCCTTTGTTCAATCGACAATAACAATACGAACCTGATGTGCTGCATGAACCTAAAGATCCTATAAGCAGTCATCTTCTTAAAAGAAAAATTATGTTAGAAAGTTCGTGGTCTTGCCGGGATTTCAGGTTAAACTCGTTACTATACGCTCAATTACTGTTAATTTTACGAGTAGAACGCTTCAGTCTGTCTGACACATCGTGATATTTAAACGAAGAAAGAAATGTCTTGTATCAAATATTATGCAATTCGATGCTAAATTGAATTAGTTAATCACCTTAAAGGACACCCTTATCGAAATACATATTCGTTTAAGCTACGTATACGTACTTTAATGCCTTGCGAACGACTATAAAAATGCGAAACAAAGAAAATGAACTTGAACGAGAGGCTTTATAAACTTCAGTCAATATAAAAATGTATAAAACTTTAACACTATCTAGCTGATAAGCGCCATCTACTCGTTGAACCATAGCAGACGGATACAATCGAATATGCAAACAATACATATATGGAATCGAAAATGAGATATCAGAGCAGACCAGACATCGTACGGGTTCTCGTCCCGCATACTCTGAAATACCGACATCGCTAAAGGCCGGACGTTCCCCTCGCGCCCTCTGCTTGATTCTACTTTACAGTGTTGCCAGCTCTAAAAATGTACATCTGTGATGGGACTTCCTCAGATAACATGCCTAAGCTCACGAGTTATTCGAATTAGATCTTACATTTCTACACCTCGTTTGTGCTAACACACGGTACACTCGATTCTTACTAATATTCCTGCATTCTGCTTACAGCGTTGCCGGTTTTAATTACTGCTATCAGAAAGACTAATTAATTACTGTTAAAGAAACACCAGTTTAGGTCGTAAAACAGGGGTTCAGGCTTAAAATCGACGTGAAACGGACGTGTTTAAGACGTCGTGTGTTGTCCGGGTACGCAGTGAAAGCAACAAGTAGACCGGTACTCAGCTTAAAAGTTTTTATTCGTTTGTTGTAATATCGATAACAAATATACATAGAAAATAGAACAACAGTTGATAATTCAGTAAAACGAAATCTACGAATGAATCAAGCCTGCGCCGAGACGAATGCGGGAAACATCTGTGAAACGTGTGTTTCAGAGACAAATATATGTATACTTCTTTCTTTTTCTTCTTTCTCTCCAATGATCCAACTACATGCGTCTCTTCTATACATGCAACGCTAAATTCCCGACGGATTAGCTAATTAGCAAGGGAACGTTTGATATCCACTGAACGATTAACTGTTGATCCGAATTGCTTTCGAACTCTGGGAACCTGTCGTCGCTCGGTCAAAGAAATAAATAAAAATAATTCGTCGCACGCGCGTTACAATATAAAAATTCGCTATCCTTGAACTGGCCGGATCCAGGTCCCGTTTTCGAAAGAAGCGATCGAAGCGACAAGGACATCATTTTTCTTTTTTTTTTATCGAAGATAACATCTGAATCCGGGGTCGGTATCATCGTTTCGTGTGCAGAGTGTCTCCGGACCTCAACGACGCGACACGGAAAAACGCGGGCCGCGAAGTTGCTAACGCGGGGAATCCCCCCCCCCCCGAGACACCCTAAATTAATTAACTATCATTATTTACATTCAGCTAAAAAGAATCATGTTTCGCAGTTAATTCGAACTAAAGAAGTCTTCAGCGATACAGGATTAGCCGGTCAGAAATCATGTTAATACTTACAACCATGAAAAAGGGGTGCTTTACAATAATACAATTACAATTAATAATTAATAATCATTTGCCGTAGGACATAAATCCGAAGATCTACTTTCTTCTCTATACGAACACAGATAAGTGTTAACACAATTTCTGCTAAGTCTGTACAAATAGTTTCACGTATCACAGCTAAAACAAACGTACACACCCCCTCGCCCGTTCCTCCCACCCCCGACATTTTGGCTATGTTGTATCACAAAAGAAACGTGCCCGAAATCACCCTTACATTCCACGATCTAACAGAACACGCTGGTAAATCCTGGCCGAAAGCAACTGAAGAACACCCTCCCCCCCCCCCCCCCCCCCCCCCCCCCCCCCCACCACCCCCCCCGCCCCCCCCCCCCCCCCCCCCCC